TTTTAAATGGTCTTCAAGCGGCACGCAGGGCATTTTGAACGGTCTTCGAGCGGCACGTAGGGCAACTTGATCCGGCAGGGGAACAGATTTTTGTACGCTTGGGACAGTTCTTATAATTTTTGAACGGTTTCCAAGCGGCACGTAGGGCAATTTGATCGGGCAGAAAAACAGATTTTTGTACGTTTGGGGCAGTATTTATAATTTTTAAATGGTCTTCAAGCGGCACGTAGGGCATTTTGAACGGTCTTCGAGCGGCACGTAGGGCAACTTGATCGGGCAGGGGAACAGATTTTTGTACGTTTGGGGCAGTCCTTATAATTTTTAAATGGTCTTCAAGCGGCACGTAGGGCATTTTGAACGGTCTTCGAGCGGCACGTAGGGCAACTTGATCGGGCAGGGGAACAGATTTTTGTACGTTTGGGGCAGTATTTATAATTTTTAAATGGTCTTCAAGCGGCACGTAGGGCATTTTGAACGGTCTTCGAGCGGCACGTAGGGCAACTTGATCGGGCAGGGGAACAGATTTTTGTACGTTTGGGGCAGTATTTATAATTTTTAAATGGTCTTCAAGCGGCACGTAGGGCATTTTGAACGGTCTTCGAGCGGCACGTAGGGCAACTTGATCGGGCAGGGGAACAGATTTTTGTACGTTTGGGGCAGTCCTTATAATTTTTAAATGGTCTTCAAGCGGCACGTAGGGCATTTTGAACGGTCTTCGAGCGGCACGTAGGGCAACTTGATCGGGCAGGGGAACAGATTTTTGTACGTTTGGGGCAGTATTTATAATTTTTAAATGGTCTTCAAGCGGCACGTAGGGCATTTTGAACGGTCTTCGAGCGGCACGTAGGGCAACTTGATCGGGCAGGGGAACAGATTTTTGTACGTTTGGGGCAGTCCTTATAATTTTTAAATGGTCTTCAAGCGGCACGTAGGGCATTTTGAACGGTCTTCGAGCGGCACGTAGGGCAACTTGATCGGGCAGGGGAACAGATTTTTGTACGTTCGGGACAGTTCTTATAATTTTTGAACTGTTTTCAAGCGGCACGTAGGGCAACTTGATCGGGCAGGGGAACAGATTTTTGTACGCTTGGGACAGTTCTTACAATTTTTGAACGGTTTCCAAGCGGCACGAAGGGCAACTTGATCGGGCAGAAAAACAGATTTTTGTACGTTTGGGGCAGTCCTTATAATTTTTAAATGGTCTTCAAGCGGCACGCAGGGCATTTTGAACGGTCTTCGAGCGGCACGTAGGGCAACTTGATCGGGCAGGGGAACAGATTTTTGTACGCTTGGGACAGTTCTTATAATTTTTGAACGGTTTCCAAGCGGCACGTAGGGCAATTTGATCGGGCAGAAAAACAGATTTTTGTACGTTTGGGGCAGTCCTTATAATTTTTAAATGGTCTTCAAGCGGCACGCAGGGCATTTTGAACGGTCTTCGAGCGGCACGTAGGGCAACTTGATCCGGCAGGGGAACAGATTTTTGTACGCTTGGGACAGTTCTTATAATTTTTGAACGGTTTCCAAGCGGCACGTAGGGCAATTTGATCGGGCAGAAAAACAGATTTTTGTACGTTTGGGGCAGTCCTTATAATTTTTAAATGGTCTTCAAGCGGCACGTAGGGCATTTTGAACGGTCTTCGAGCGGCACGTAGGGCAACTTGATCGGGCAGGGGAACAGATTTTTGTACGTTTGGGGCAGTATTTATAATTTTTAAATGGTCTTCAAGCGGCACGTAGGGCATTTTGAACGGTCTTCGAGCGGCACGTAGGGCAACTTGATCGGGCAGGGGAACAGATTTTTGTACGTTTGGGGCAGTCCTTATAATTTTTAAATGGTCTTCAAGCGGCACGTAGGGCATTTTGAACGGTCTTCGAGCGGCACGTAGGGCAACTTGATCGGGCAGGGGAACAGATTTTTGTACGTTTGGGGCAGTATTTATAATTTTTAAATGGTCTTCAAGCGGCACGTAGGGCATTTTGAACGGTCTTCGAGCGGCACGTAGGGCAACTTGATCGGGCAGGGGAACAGATTTTTGTACGTTTGGGGCAGTCCTTATAATTTTTAAATGGTCTTCAAGCGGCACGTAGGGCATTTTGAACGGTCTTCGAGCGGCACGTAGGGCAACTTGATCGGGCAGGGGAACAGATTTTTGTACGTTTGGGGCAGTATTTATAATTTTTAAATGGTCTTCAAGCGGCACGTAGGGCATTTTGAACGGTCTTCGAGCGGCACGTAGGGCAACTTGATCGGGCAGGGGAACAGATTTTTGTACGTTTGGGGCAGTCCTTATAATTTTTAAATGGTCTTCAAGCGGCACGTAGGGCATTTTGAACGGTCTTCGAGCGGCACGTAGGGCAACTTGATCGGGCAGGGGAACAGATTTTTGTACGTTTGGGGCAGTATTTATAATTTTTAAATGGTCTTCAAGCGGCACGTAGGGCATTTTGAACGGTCTTCGAGCGGCACGTAGGGCAACTTGATCGGGCAGGGGAACAGATTTTTGTACGTTTGGGGCAGTCCTTATAATTTTTAAATGGTCTTCAAGCGGCACGTAGGGCATTTTGAACGGTCTTCGAGCGGCACGTAGGGCAACTTGATCGGGCAGGGGAACAGATTTTTGTACGTTCGGGACAGTTCTTATAATTTTTGAACTGTTTTCAAGCGGCACGTAGGGCAACTTGATCGGGCAGGGGAACAGATTTTTGTACGCTTGGGACAGTTCTTACAATTTTTGAACGGTTTCCAAGCGGCACGTAGGGCAACTTGATCGGGCAGAAAAACAGATTTTTGTACGTTTGGGGCAGTCCTTATAATTTTTAAATGGTCTTCAAGCGGCACGCAGGGCATTTTGAACGGTCTTCGAGCGGCACGTAGGGCAACTTGATCGGGCAGGGGAACAGATTTTTGTACGTTTGGGGCAGTATTTATAATTTTTAAATGGTCTTCAAGCGGCACGTAGGGCATTTTGAACGGTCTTCGAGCGGCACGTAGGGCAACTTGATCGGGCAGGGGAACAGATTTTTGTACGTTTGGGGCAGTCCTTATAATTTTTAAATGGTCTTCAAGCGGCACGTAGGGCATTTTGAACGGTCTTCGAGCGGCACGTAGGGCAACTTGATCGGGCAGGGGAACAGATTTTTGTACGTTTGGGGCAGTATTTATAATTTTTAAATGGTCTTCAAGCGGCACGTAGGGCATTTTGAACGGTCTTCGAGCGGCACGTAGGGCAACTTGATCGGGCAGGGGAACAGATTTTTGTACGTTTGGGGCAGTCCTTATAATTTTTAAATGGTCTTCAAGCGGCACGTAGGGCATTTTGAACGGTCTTCGAGCGGCACGTAGGGCAACTTGATCGGGCAGGGGAACAGATTTTTGTACGTTTGGGGCAGTATTTATAATTTTTAAATGGTCTTCAAGCGGCACGTAGGGCATTTTGAACGGTCTTCGAGCGGCACGTAGGGCAACTTGATCGGGCAGGGGAACAGATTTTTGTACGTTTGGGGCAGTCCTTATAATTTTTAAATGGTCTTCAAGCGGCACGTAGGGCATTTTGAACGGTCTTCGAGCGGCACGTAGGGCAACTTGATCGGGCAGGGGAACAGATTTTTGTACGTTCGGGACAGTTCTTATAATTTTTGAACTGTTTTCAAGCGGCACGTAGGGCAACTTGATCGGGCAGGGGAACAGATTTTTGTACGCTTGGGACAGTTCTTACAATTTTTGAACGGTTTCCAAGCGGCACGTAGGGCAACTTGATCGGGCAGAAAAACAGATTTTTGTACGTTTGGGGCAGTCCTTATAATTTTTAAATGGTCTTCAAGCGGCACGCAGGGCATTTTGAACGGTCTTCGAGCGGCACGTAGGGCAACTTGATCGGGCAGGGGAACAGATTTTTGTACGCTTGGGACAGTTCTTATAATTTTTGAACGGTTTCCAAGCGGCACGTAGGGCAATTTGATCGGGCAGAAAAACAGATTTTTGTACGTTTGGGGCAGTCCTTATAATTTTTAAATGGTCTTCAAGCGGCACGCAGGGCATTTTGAACGGTCTTCGAGCGGCACGTAGGGCAACTTGATCCGGCAGGGGAACAGATTTTTGTACGCTTGGGACAGTTCTTATAATTTTTGAACGGTTTCCAAGCGGCACGTAGGGCAATTTGATCGGGCAGAAAAACAGATTTTTGTACGTTTGGGGCAGTCCTTATAATTTTTAAATGGTCTTCAAGCGGCACGCAGGGCATTTTGAACGGTCTTCGAGCGGCACGTAGGGCAACTTGATCCGGCAGGGGAACAGATTTTTGTACGTTCGGGACAGTTCTTATAATTTTTGAACTGTTTTCAAGCGGCACGTAGGGCAACTTGATCGGGCAGGGGAACAGATTTTTGTACGTTTATGCAGTTCTTATGATTGACGGTCTTTAGGTGGCTCGTGTGCTTTTCGGGGAGGGATCTACTTATGTAGTAAGCTTCACATTCCTTTGGCGAAAGAAATTAGAAAATTTAGAAAATTTTCTGACAAAGTTCTTAGACGATTGATTTCGTTGCTGTCGGATTGATTCTGAGAGAAAAGTGTTTTTTGTAGTACACAATTGTTGTGGATATTTCTACTTCCAGAACGATAGGTGTTCTACTTCCTTGACGATCTTCTATAGAAATTGTTGAGGTTGCAGCAGGAAGTTCGAGAAATGCTGAGTGATTTTTGGAGATTATTGCTTCTTCGAACACTTCTCCTTTTGTAGAATGCTTCGCAAAGATGTTCTCAGCAAAAGCATAGAAAACTTATTTAGAAATATTTATAATCACAACTAAGCCCTTATATTGTATCTGCCCCTACCCACTTGCTAGCGACCCGTATTGTCGCTAGTAACTTGATATAGTTTTGAGGTGGTGAATCATTCGACTGATACGCCGATCGTAATAGCGTTCGAAAAAGCAACACTATTATACTTGTTTCTCACAATCATCGGAAATACATTATATGCATTAATTTTTTCCAGGAAATCCAGCACCTTATGATGCGCTTTCACCAACCGTCTCCTCCGCCCTGCATCATCGAGTGCGTAGAAGATTCCGGTTCATTTGATTTCTTTTGTAGTCTGATTCATACAACACGAAGTCTAGGGCAGCAGAACGGTGGGAAGCTATGGCTCGTGATGACCAACCGCAGTTCATTCGACGACCGGATTATAGAACGCCACACATTGACTCTTGTAATCAGTAGAGTCTCGTCAGTCGGCTTCAAAGAATTCCGCATAGTTTTGTTTTCCGCTGTCCTTCTCTGCTAAGAACGTCGCCGTTATTGCGAAGTATGAGTTTTTTGTAGCATCTGCTTGCCAAGTCCTTTCTGTGCATAGGTTTCGCCTTTCATATCATTGCCATGTAAACTTTTTATCTTTTCAACTTTATTTTGAGCTACAAGCTTCAGTTGCCTTACAAAACACGTCGATGTATTGGCGGAAAGCGATCATCTTTACCGTCGCTCTTATGTTTAGCGGTGTTTTTTTTGTTGAAGGGACAATAAAACTTTTCTTCTAGTTGTTAAAGGCAGTGTCCGGGTAAAACCAGCTTTTTTGCTTACCTGGACTTATCCGCTATGCTGAATAAAGAAAATCTATCTTAGGGGGTGTATGCCAAGATGAACGTTAGCTGGCAATAAGCATACTGTACTCCTACGTTTGTCAATATGTCGCACATAAAGTCTTATTTTTTGAAGATGTATGTTCCAAACTAGATTGAAATGGTGTCGAGCAGTAAGAATCAGGGCATACAGAGCTTCCAATGTCTTTTCCAAGCTTCGAGATATCATCATAGCGTAAATATGGAATTTCAAAAAGATTTGACCTACGTAGCGCGTATGGCTGGCGCAACCTATCGTTCATGTTGGCTGCCCCCCATCTTAGGCCCTGGGCAGAGCTCATGCGATTTCGTCGCGTCGCACCCTGTCATTTTGGACAAGTGTTTCGCGCCAGATGTTAACTGTGTGGGTCCGGAAGCATTTGTGATGGCTGCGCGGCGCGACGGATCGCGCCACACTTTTCGGCGTTCATAGCTCACCTGGCTATCGTTGCGATTTTGCCGAGTCGGCGTGATGTCGCGTCGCTCGTTTGCGGATCCTGAACTGCATTTTCGATGTTATTGTTGTAAGCTGCTGTTTTTTTTCGGATTGTCAGTGTTTTTGCATAAAATATTGCAAATGCCAAATTATGCTATCCTTATTGTTTAATGAGGGCAGTTAGTCCTCATTTTGCATTTTTTCCTTTTTTTCAATCTATATTTTCCTACATCTCATATATCCTGGGCTACCAAGGAGATCCGTAACAAGCCCTACTCTATTCTTGGGCATCGAATACTTGACCATAGTCTACTTGACGATGGTATGCAGCAAACTCCGAGCAGGCCCCGGCACGAGGTGGGCAAATCGATTTCCAGCTTGTCATTGACAAGCTGGAAATTGTTTTGGGGCCAAAAAGCAAAGGGGATATCGTTTTTGCGGGATCCGGGGCGGAGCTCCGGAAGAAGAATCCAAGTGCAAGCAAGAGAAAGTCGAATCATGCGTACCTTATACATCTAATTCATCGGGAAATAGTTTTCATAAACCTCAACGCACAGCAGACTTAGCGCGCGTTACGCCGCGATTGCTGCGTGCGACGTCGCAAATTGCTGCGTGCGACGTCGCATGAGCGATGCCATTGGACAGCATGATTACATGATCAGTTCTCAATGCATGCGTAATAAAATAGCATCAAATTACGTAATCGAACAAAGAGAGGCTAGTAGGAACAAAGCATGAAATGTTGTGAAGAACTTATGTGAATGGGAGGTGTAATAAGCATTTTTTTCAAAAATTTCGCAAAACTGGTAAATGAAGATGTGAATTCAGATGGCTCGTTTGCATCGCACAGATGACCATACGATATGAGACTTGGTAGGTACATGAACACGAGCCTGCAGGGCTTATCTTAGAAGTTTCATTGAAAAATTATGTGAGAAGGTTGTGGCAAGCTTTTTTCTGAAAATTTCCCACTATCAAGAAAATGGAAAAATGGCTCGTTTGCAACGCAGAGAAGACGAAATCGCGCGAGACTTGGTGTGTATACGCGCAGTAAGACTAAGGAACAATGTATGAAAAATTATGAAAAACTTATGTGAATGAAGAGCGTGCCCAACTTTTTTTCAAATTAGGTGGGCAATTGCTCACCTAATGCCCACCTGAGGTGGGCAAAACTTTCAGTTCACATAATTTTTCCAAAATTTTTACATAAATCTGTTGTTCACCTAAAGTTTACTATATGGTGAGATTTTGGTTCCGAAACTCCTCCTCTTGTCTTTGTTAGAGCCCAAAATCGCCTCAGCAGCCTAGCTTTCTAAGATGGAAAGCTCGCCCCAGTTAATCGATACGCGCGGGAACGGCGTCTCTCAGTCCTATGACTGCGTTCCTCTAATAATTTTCATTCCTTCATCATTTTCCTTGCTTATTCTTCTTCCTGTTTTCTATCCTGATACAGGTGAGGAGAAATTAGGGGAATTTGAGCATTTTGGGCGCTTTTGAGCGCTTTTAGGCGAAATGTGGCCGGTGCTCTCGTTCCACAAGCACAAAGCGTCATTTGGCTCAAGGGGGTATTCGTAAAAACTACTGGGGTCAAAGGGGAATTCGTTTTGGAAAACCCCGTTTGCCCACCTCGTGCCGAGCCCTGACCCCGAGATATGAGCTTTGCATGGGGTACCAGCAGTAGTTTCGTATATCATGTGCGGCACACCGGTGACGTTTTCAGAGCTGAAAACATCCTTTTGCCGCGTAACAGTTATTTCGGAATGTCCGCAGCCACTGGTGGCTTTGCTGGTACTTCATTCTCATTCATAATTGATGCTTCCCAACAGTCATTTGATTATGAGCCATTTTTTTTCCAGAACCGCGATGTCATTGACTTCTCGGTCTTCGTTGAAATCAAAACCTACACATTCGATAATACAGCAATAAAGAACTTCCAAGAGCACCGATTTTTTGTAATCAATTGGAGACGTGCAATGTGTGAACTTTTATGCAATTGCATGAAATCGCGTCGGAGGTACAGGGCTTTTCAACACAAGAGTCACAGCTTCCGCTTGCGCGGCTCCTCCAACGCGGCCGCCTCGCTTAGGCCGCGCGCGGCGTTTGCGGCGCATCGTCCGGGCATTTTGCCAAGCTTCAGTCGATGCGCCGCCTGGAGCATGCGTCGGTGGCATCGATTGAGACCTGGCAAAATGCCCGGACGATGCGCCACGAACGCTGCGCGGACCAAAGCGTGGCGGTAGAGCGGGGGGCTGTGACACTCAGGTTGTAAAGCCCTGTATGCACGCCTCCTATGGATGAGCAACTCAGTCGCCGCGTTAAGTCGCCACTTTCGTGCAAGTCGTCGCGACTGGAGATCGCGGCGACTTCGTTGCGTGAGCTATGCCCAGGATCTTAGAAAGCACGAAGAGGGCAAGAACAGGTGTTTCCAAAGCCCCTCAGCTTGTTTGAAGAGGTGGAGCAGCTCTCGCTAAGACTGAGACGCAGAGTTGTTGTGGGACTCTACAACGTTGTCTAGGCGGCATACGGAATTCACAAGTGAGCGAGGCTTTCTTGCTAACGGATCGGCCATAGGTTGCCGGCGCGGGGTCGAACGTGTTGATGCGATCCGGGATCCTCATTTACGACCTCTCCCCCCTCCCCTTCTCCCCCCCCCCACTGCTTTTGAGGAATTGTTCAGAGCGCGCCGGTACCCGTCCAAATCCGTCCAAATACGTCCAAAGCCTAAACCCGCCCGAATACGTCGAGTCCGCCCAAATACGTCGGAATACGCGCAAACCGTCGGAACCCGCCCAAACCCGCCCGAATACGTCCGAATACGCCCGAACCCACCTGAACGCCGGAATGCCAAAACGCAGCAGATATGCATGCAAATCGGCATATTGGAGCATGCGTAAGATACTGCGCGCATATATCTATCTTAGTCAAGCGTAGCTCGACGCGTATCTGGCGCTTTGGCAGTTCCGACGTTGAAGCGGATTTGGGCGGTTTCGGACATTTGGGCGAGTTTGGGCTGATTCGGACATATTTGGGAGGATTCGGACGTATTCGGGTGGGTTTGGGTGGATTCGGACGTATTGGGGCGGATTCAGACAGGTACCGCGCGGTCTGAACGATCCCTGAACTGCATGAACGAATGGCAATCTCAAAAGATGCCTGCCATTAGACCTCAATCAAATTATAGCTTCGGAGGAAAATAACTATTGTTGCTTCGTTGACCCACGGACTGCACGAACGCTGCGGATAACGTGCGGCGCGGCTGAATTGTCGCGAGAGCATGACTTGTACAATGGCAAATTTGTGCTGGGGCAAGTGTTTTATTTTATCTCGCGATAAGTGCTCCGCAGTGATTTCATCTCCAGTCGTGCGGTCAACAATTAACTATACTCATAAACTGGGAGATACTGCAAGTGATGCTCCATTACTCAAAAACCTCACAAATAATTTTGCGTAGATTGAGTAAGTAGTAAAAATCTACAAAGATTTCGCTATGCTTATTATGGTAGGGAAAATTTGGATGGAGAGGACAGCATCTGACAAAGCAGAAGATCAGTTTTGATCTGCTGAATTTAGGCTGTACTCCACCTAGACGCCAAAAAATAAAATAACAACCAAGAATAAACTCAGCATTAAGGAGTGGTTCACTTCAGTCATTATGACTGAATATTTTACAATAACTCATTTTCTTGTGACAGATAATAAAGTCTTGTGTTATGTATGAATGTTTGGCATAACTCATTCATATTCAGTGGTTTTGAAAGACACGACTATGGTTCTGGAAATCAAAACGTTCAGACATAATGCAGGGAGAAAAAACGATATGTTTGAAGCCTTAAAATTATTTTCGAGCATAGGTGCGATGGCGAGCCGGGTAACCTTTGTCAGGATAAAGGCTGGCCTTGCCTTTACCTGATGTGTAGCGGGTAGTACATAAGACTAATATGTTATTATTTATTATTTAGTATAAATACAAGGAAAAGGGGAAAAGGGGAAGTGGTTGCAGGGTGCAACCTGCTGGAAGCGGTTCGTAGATCACTGTCCTCCAGCGGGCTTTACAACTCGCCCAGAGAGGAGAGACAGCTGTTATGGACCCGAGATCTCCATTCATTCGAGAAGCTCCTCGAGCTTGTGGCATAGTTGGGGCTTCGACTGTTGCCTATTGCGTGGTTGATGTTCATCCGGGTAAGTGTGTTGGCACATGCACGTGATATACGGCGAGAACATACAAGTTAAAGTGTGAATACATTACAGTTACATAGTAAATTTAAGGATATGAATCCAGTGGACCGCAAGCAGACACGATTTTCACCTAGAATATTCACCTAGAACAGGAGTTGCCTTAGAAAAGATTTAGCAACCTGAAGAACTGCTGAGCACGGCAAGAAACCAAATGCAGGCTCTGCAATG